GGGGGGGGGGGGGGGGGGTTTGGGGGGGGGGGGGGGGGAGGAGTGGTCTTTTGGACCAGAACCGCGCCGAAGCTTTGTTTCAACCTTGCACCCTCTTCCCATACATGCATCATGCATGCGTTGCGCAATGCGTCGAAGTGGCTTCGTTGACACAACCAACAACCATGGATCATGACGGATTTTGTGACGGAGGGTGCACGCGTGCACACGCCTCTACCGTACAGAACCCTGCCGTATTTTCAGTCTCGGGTGTCCCGAAGACCACGGCAGTAAGAAAAGCAGGTTAGTGTCCGCCGTGGAGAAGCTCCGTCATCCCTAGTCGTCTCACTATTCGTGGCACGCTTCGTGGTCCCATGCAAGCGCAAGAACGATAGGCAGCTGGATTGCACACAACCCTAACACACTTCCCCAGCTGAAGGCGGACGGCGACCATGACAATAGCGCCAACACAGCAGGGTACCTGTGGAATATAGGTTTTTCTAGAAGCGCCGCTGTGGGCAAAGACCCGCGTTCCCAGAGCGATCTTTGAAATTTACCAAATCCGTGCATCAGGCTTCTAAACATTGAAGCCAGCACCTGAAACGTTCACACGGCCACGTCGGACTCTTAGCATGAGAGCTGTGTACGAGCACTGCTACTCCCTTGCTTGCGTGTAGCTCACCTCCAGTCAACGTGGACGCCAGCCCTGGGGTGTCCACATCCATCATTTCGGTGGTGCCGTTATCATTCATAGCGGCTGACATAGGGGCCCACAGACCGACGTACCTGACCCCAGCTCTCCCCTTGTTCGCCCGGTGTGATGCACACGCACACGTAGGTTGTACCCTGCAGAGTATCTGCACTCTCTCCGCTTGCCTCTATCACTCACGTCCTGCTGGTGGGAACTTGGGGGTGACGCGATTCCTATGTATTTATTTTGGGGTATCCATTCCTATGTACATACTTCTCTGGGCGCAACACACCAAGCAAGTCCTTGCTGCGCGGCACTCAACCAAGCCAGGGGCTGGGGGTAGCAGACTGCCATCAAGGGGGGAAGGAGGGAGGGAGGGAGACCATGGTGCAATTTAGCCTCAAGCTCGAGGACAATCGGGTGGACAAGTGGTCATCGCAGTACTTGGACTACCGGAAATTGAAGAAGGCAATCAAGCAGATAGCTTCGCATCGAAAGACGGCCGCTCTTGTTGCTCAGAGGTAGGCCTGAGGTGTGGTCTGCCGTGCGTGTGATTGAAACATTGAACCATTTGCGCGTCCCTTGCCAGAAGATCAAAGTGAGAGGCAGTTCTTGATCATGTCATCGCTCAATGAGAAAGAAACCCTCGTCTGAGTGCTGCTCTCAGCAGCATGGAAGATCGGTTACTGCTCCCTACGTGACATACATGAAACACTCAGGACATTGGGTTGTTAGAACAACGAACGTTAGATCTCCATTGCCGCTACAGCAGTATTTGGGAGCGTTCAGCGTCGGGTTTACCTGCTGTCATGATGAACCTCTACACGGGTACACGGCACACGATACGGGCAGCAGGCTTGCAATCTTGCAACGGGTGCGTACGCACCCGCGGTCCACTACTGTAGGGCGTATGCATGTGTCCATCAACCAGAGAAAAAACGCTCCAGCAACCATGATGCACTTTTCCAGATTTGTTCTGTTTTTCCAAAGTGTCATTATTGTTACTGAGGTACCATGGTATTATTTTCCACGAAGTCTATCCACACACCCCTCGAGACGCGCTTGCTCCGCAACCACATAAGCGTGCCATAATAGAACACCCGACAAACCGAGTTCCCCTAAATAAATCTTCCGTCTACAACTTCCCAACATAACATACAGATAGATACGCAAGACGGCTACCAAACTGCCTTGTTGAGCCTGTTACCCACAGGGGAGATATCGTTGTATGCTGTCTGGGAAGCCGCAGATGTACAGGTAGCTTTTCGCTCACGCTATGGATTCATTGCTTATCTTAGACTTATTTCTATAGATAGAGATCGATTTGTGTGTGATATTGAGAAAAAAAAAGGGTGACTCACTGGCAAATAAGGAGGGGGCGACACCGATCGCCTCCCTCTCTCATCCGGCATCCAAGCTTCCCTCCCATGTCAACTGGCCGGACCTAACAAAATGCCGCTTCAGTATACCGAACCCTCAATGGCACTCTACCATCGACATCCACCAACATCGATGTTAAGTGGGGCGGCATTTCGTCTCCCTTTCCTGTACCTTCGTGTATGCTAGCCCTCATTCTGCCCCGTCTTCCTCCCCTTCGCCAGTTTACGGAATACCATGTCTACGTCCACTATATTGTTCCGAGCATATACCTTAAACGTACCCGAACCTTCCTTCCATCTACCCTCTCTGTATAATTCTACCAGGTACGTTTCCCCCCGCTGCCAGCGTGATTGCGGCCCCAATTCTCAACGAATGTAAGCCAACCTGCCTCGGGTCGTCACCTTCCTTCCCTGCAATCTGGCGAAGGGCTCTAAAAGCCTTAGAATATCCACACACCTTGACCGTATTGCTCCTATCACAGCGAAATAAGCACAGAGGGGCATCCTCAGGCAACGAGAGATGGCACGCCATCAATTCCACCTACACCGCCACGGCGTGCACCGCCACCGGCACCGATCTGAGAACGCGCGCCTCGTGCGACATCGCGTACCCGTGTAACGCACGCCCCCTTTTCCGACTGATCTCCCTTGTGGCCGCGAAACTGAACCCGAACACCCGTGGCCTTGTGACAGTGCAACGGAGATAGCACCTGCTCCCTAACGAAGCACTCAACTCGCTTGGACATGGGCACGTGCGACACCCCAGCATACACCCCAACATACTTGGTTTGATGAGAGGCGCACCATTCGGCCACTCCACCTGCTTTTCGACTCGATGAAAGTACTGTGCGGCGGCAAGCTTGCCGAAAACTGTCGGTACAACGTTACCCTGATCTGCTCAACACCACGACCGCATCACTCCAAGACGTGTGATTGTGAGAGTGCTCCCACACGGCGGTCATGACGCGGATTTGTTATTAGTCGAATTGTGCCACCCACACACCAAGCGCCGATCTACCACGAGATGAAATCCCACACCGGGTAACCAAAACACAGGAGCACCCGACCATTGAACAGCTACCTGCCGAAACGCCTCAGTAACATCTATCTTGCTTAACACGATCCGGGGGCAACACTTCCTCCGCAACCGCAAGATGCGCCACACAATGCCCCGCAACACGTTGCCTAACTCGACCTTCGGCGCCACCTTCGAATCCGTGTCGGCATGGACACTACGCAACGCGGGGGAGCATTCAAATGTCGAGTCACGGATAAGACAAATTTTCGCGGGGAAGACGACCACGCCCAGCGGGGACACCGCAACCCAGTATCGATCTGCTCCTCCCGCGGAAACACGAATGCCCGTCCGTACTGCACGTCATCAAAACTTTCCTGTGAATGGTGTCGGAGTGCGAGGCTACACGACGTTGGTTGCCATACTACAGCGCTTGTGCGATTTCTGCAGATCCACTCACGAGCACGACGGCACCGCGCTCCGCAATGGCGGCTACGGTTTCTGTTTGTGTAAAACCCTTCTAGCATCCAAACCAGCCTGAATAAATGCAGGCCGCACCCGCGGCACCCCCACGCCGTTTTCAATGGCTTGCATGCATTCAAAGCTTCTCCTATGCCGACATAAAATCGAAAGCAGTCCACCGCGATCTGAGCAAGTATGGTAGCACGTGGTGCTCACTTCTCGACGGTCTGAGACATAGCATGTACCATGGAAACAATACACTGCCCATCAATGCACTCCAAAGTACCAACCCCACCTCAGATCAACGTAGTAGCCACTCGCAAGGGGTTCGTGCCCAAGCCCGAAACCACGCCCCCCCGGGACATTGAATGTCGGCCCTCCCCCCCCGGGGGGGTAGGTCCCGCGCCCCTACTCGTCAATATCGCCTCGCCGCGTCACCGCCGCCGCCTTGGCCCGCTTCGCCTGGGGGCACCAGCGTGAGGAGCGGCAGCGGCGGCTGTGGGGGGGATACCTTCGAAATCGCTGCCCTCGGAGCGCCCACCAGTTTCGCCCCCTCCTGTTCCGCCCGCCCCGCCGGCCTCCCTTTTCGCCGCATGCGTGAAGCGGCATTTCTCCCCGAACCGGCAGGTCCCATGTCGGGCGAACTGGTAGCACGTCCCCGACTTCTTGGCCGCGCTGGCGGCCCCCGCGACACTCGCACTGGGGTTCGACGAATGGGCGGTCCTGCCCTGTATATCGGACTTTATCCGCCCCCCGACTGCTCGGCTTTCAATCTTCTACGGGAAGCATCCCATCACGTCACCCACCGCATGCGGATGTAGGACGAGCTCCACGCGTGCACCCGCTGGTCCATGATCACCTTCGGCATCCTCTGTGGGTAGACGACACCCTGGCTCCACCCCCGTATCAACCGGAATCCATATGCGAGGCTCCCACGCCAAATAATGACCGCGTCGCGGGAGTAAATCTCAAGCTGCCCACGCTGCCACGCCGACCAACGCCCTGCAGCAATCCGGTGCATGGACCGGCGTGGCGTGGCCCGGAACCGGGCGAGAAGCCATTCGCACCCGCGCCCCCATGCGCCGCCGCCGGTGCAACCCCGGCGGCGCCAGCCACCGCGTCCCCTCCGTCCCGAGCGTGAACGACCCCCAGCACCTCCTCGAACCTCGCCGCCACGTCGGCCTTGAGGTCCTCGACCGACGCGCTCATGATGGCCCGTTCATCGGCGCTGCCTGCCTGTCCACATCATACTCCGCGCGGCCACAACGGACGCATCCGAAGAGGACCGCCCGTCGCCGCTCACATCTCCGCCCGTTCACGACGTGCCCCCCGACGTACTGATCAATATCCTGATCACGGGGGGGCAATTGGGTATGGAGGTACAAGCAAAATTGTATACATCGGAAACGTCAGAAATGATCATGTGAGATACGCGTCACGGTATGCACCTGCCTACCGGAGCGCATCCCAAACATCCCCTCGCTCGTGTTCCAACCGGGGCATTCGGACCTAGCACCCCCAAGCGTTGCACACGATGCACTTTGCAGAGCCACGTACACCAGGACAGTACGCGTGGATGGCCCCCGAGACATGCACATCTGTGGTACCACCACGAACATGTGAGGTTGTGGCCACCGACCCTCTCGCTACTGGCAACACGCGTCAATGACTTCGCTGATTATGCAACCCCGGTCCACACACCGGTGCGAACCAAGCACCACCAGATGTGAACCACTGTGCATAGACGTCACCGGGCGTGGGCCAAAAAAAATTGCGCGATTATGTGCACCAGTCCAGCTGTCGAATTTCCACGAACGTTGTTGTGTTTGTGACTCTTTCCAGCAAATTTTTCTCGCACACCCATCCCTCGTATGTGAGACCATCCCCGCCAACCCATACCAGCGTCATCGACAGATTAATCGACGTGATGCGCCACGGACTAGTGGGATGCGAAGCTGTGTACTGTGATAGACAGTAATTCTTGTTTAGAGGTGTCCATAGGAAGACGCCCGCGCCCATGCGGCACATGTATTTTAGTCTCATCATATGACGACATTCATGCTCGTTCCGTATCTCTCTCCACCCCAGTACTCTCGCATGTTTGTTTTCCCTTGCTACAAGCATGCCAGGAAAAGACAACACACCCTGTCTCCCTGCCCAACTGTACTGGCAACATCGACACAGGCGTCTGGTTTGACCGTATCGATGCGCAACAGGCGGGCGAGACGCGAGGCCGTAAGCCGGTACCATACACTCCAGCGTAACCAGCCATATATATTCTATATTATGTATGTTCGTGCCGTCCCACTGATTACTATTCCGTGCACGACGACCCACCAATCGCGTGTACCAGACCGGCCCATGCAATATTCAGCATGTGTCATGACGGCCGCCTGCCGTCTCGTCGTAGCACCAGCGACACACATGTCATACATGTTGCGTTCGGCTCCTGACCACCACGACTCATCTTCAGATGACATGCCATCATGGTTTACAACCACCATACGCTCCAGCGTAACCAGTTCGATATATACTGCTGTTTCTGTTCTTGCCGTCTCACCGACAGTACTCTCGCATGGTTTTTTTTTCGTGTAAGTATACCAGGAAAGACAACACACCCTGTCTCCCTGCCCACCTGTACCAGTAATATCGATACAGGCATACATACAAATACCCTAATACCCTCGACACAGCAGCGAAGAACAAACTACGGATATGTGTGCGTTTCCAGCGTGCGAACAGTACCAGGTGGTGACCATGAGCATCATGATGTGTGTCAATACTGTCATCCGGTGGGGATGAGGCGAGATGAGACAGCAGTCCACAACGTCTCCGCCGTGTGACAGATATGACAGAAGGCCCAACAGAAAAAAGAATAA